AATACGCTCCTTGGTAAGAGAATCTCAATGTCTAATTATTTTATTATTGCTATTGTAAGAATGCCTTGAAACCATCTTCGGATAACAGCATATACTTGTCCTTTATTTCATCATTCTGTATGAATATAAGAATTGTAAAATGCTTCTCCTTGACGGATGTATACAAACGTATTATTGACACTTTAAAGCTATCGTTGATAAAGCTGGAAACGTTAGTGTACTACATTTATATCTGAAGTCGTAACAAATTGTATTAATAATTTGCATATCAATCAATCGATAATTTGTAGAAAATTATGCTTATAAATTGGAAGAACAATGACAGTATCTTAAGTCATCTTAAGAAAACACTGAAATATATTGAATCTCAAAAAAAAGTATGCGATTTTAGAGTTGAAAAATTTTAGTTACTAGTCAGGTTTTTTTTATTATTTATCCAATTGTGCTAAGTTTAATTATAAGAAATAATCAGCAAAATTTTTATATCGGGACTTAAAATAGTCGATATTAATCCTTATCTATAATATTATAGTATAATGATTAATATTTTATTTAATTAGTTAAATCCGACGGTTCCGTTCTCTGAAGCTGTCGTACGAGGTGTTCTGTTTGAAGGAGTGAATTGAAGGAGCTTCTGTGTTGTAGTGAACTTCAAGTCTTTTTTTATGTGCTTCAGCCTGAAGCGTGATTATTTCAGCAACTATCGGAACATGCAACTTTCGATGAAGGTCGCTGTTATAAACAAACCATTGAGCATTGATCTTAGGATGTTGTTTTGATATTGTTGGATTATCTGCCTATTTGACTCATATGTCCAACCCCAGAGTTGAGATCTATAAATCCAAATTAAACGTTGTACCTGCTTGTATATTATTAGTTTATTTTTGATTGACATAACGGAATATCGTCCAAATAACCATTTAATTGAGTTGAGCTTAAGATTTAGTTCTTGACGTTTAAATTTGATTAAAAAGCAGTAGCAACTGTATTCCCCAGCCATTATAGAGTAAAAGTGCGTAATAGCACTAACTCAACAAGAAGAAGAAGAAGAAGAAGCAACTGTATTCAAAATCAAGTAGCAACTGTATTTAAACTTAATAAAAAAGTTCTTTTAAAATTTAATTATTTCATAAGATTGATTTTTGATTCTAATTAAAATCCTTAATTCATTCATTGGTTATTAACTACGGCATAATATAATATAAATATATTATTGACATATATTTTGCGACTCATAACTACCTAAAAACCTTTTAAATCTATTATGCTTAAAAGTCTTTCACTTTACCTTGAATTTCCTATAATTTAAAAATAAAAGTTTAAGTGCTGTATATTAATGCGTGACATATAATGAATATACATCGTGTAAGTATCTTTACTCATATGTAATTTCTAATTACTTTTTCCAAAAGAACTTATACACGATATCAAAATTCCTACACGTATTAATCTCAAACTAAGTTACGACAAATTCTTGTGTGTATCAGCGATACGAAAAGGATTTATTTTCGCACATTCCCGCACATATGTATCTACACATATAGCACTAAGCGATAGCACTAAGGATAAGGATAATGAAATCATTCGATTTAATGCCAGTGTATGCACGTACACAGTTTCGTAAAAGTCTTTTGCTTGGCGTATGATAAATCTTTTACCAAAGCTTTTTGGAAATGTTTTAAAAGTTTGATAGTAATGGATTTATTGAACAGATTGCCTTTAGTAATTTAACCATTAGTTAGGGATAATATAGAATGGCGTTTTAATTGATGAGACTCTCAGAACAATGAAGCTAAAAAATTTTTTGTTGTTCGTAAACAAAAGTACAAAAAATCTTTGATTGATAAAATTTTGCTTTAAGTTTGATTTCCTCAGAAATTACTAGCAAAAGCTCAGATTAAACGTTTTGATATGAAAAATTTTATATTTTATTTGTGTTGAACTAACTTTGGTTGATGAAAGAATTTTGACAAAAAAAACTTAATTCGTTGTTAAGTCATTGGGTTACTGGATAATCAGATCTTTTCTAGTAAGAAACTGTTACAGGACAAGCTAGGTTTTGGGCTGTAAGACTTACAGATTTATTAGTCTCTTCAGTTTATCTTCACCCCAATAACTCAATATGGAGGTCAGGATCAGGATCGATCTTCCCATCGATCCGGGGAAGAAGGTGATTATCGAGAAGATATCAAGAACATTGTTAAGATGAGCCGATTAAATAGAGGCTACTGCACTCGAAAAGCCTAACACCGATTTGGCAAAAAGTGGGATTGTGTCAGATTGTGTGTTTGTTGTAAACTTACTTACTGCTGTTCTTCTCTTTTAGTGTAGCATAGGGCCGCAGCATAAGGTTTGCTGTTGAAGTCCCCTTTTATCAGGTTGGTTAAGAGAATTGCTAAGGTACTGTGATCATCGGGATAAATGACTAGAGATAGAGGCAGTGTGGTAGATGCAAACAATGTTTAGGTAAAGACGGTTGTTGGGAGATAAAGTATTGCCCATTGCCGTAAGAGAGGAGAGCGTGCAGATGACCTTTCGAGATAATTTGAGAGAATCTCTTACCAGTATAGCGACTTTCCGATGATTACTGATCCTGTAGAAACGGATAACGTATTATCCTTAATATCTACTTGGTCCGTCATAACAATAATGTGAGGCTCATTGCGACTGGATTAATTCTCAAAGATAATACGCTAAGTAAGGGAGTGAATAGAGTTAACATTGATGAGAATGATGCTCAGACAATTCATCTCAAGGTAAATTCTAGAACCTTCTGCACTATATACAATAAAATACTACGAAATGGTTCTTAACAGCTTGAACTCAGTTCGTTTATTTTATTATTTATCATAACACAGTAGTGTTGTACAGTAGTGTTGTACAGTTGTATTATACAGTAGTATTGCACAGTAGTATTGCACAATATGTTTTCTTATCGTAAAGGGGTTTGAGAGCTATAATATAATATAGTTTGGAAACTTAAAGTTTTTTATTTGGGTTTCTTTTAACTTTAAGATGTATATACTAGGTCCGAATCCAAGTTCACCTATGAAAATAAATGTTTAAATTGATTATAATATCAACGATAGATACTGTAATGTTATTTAAGAAGATTGCAGTTGAACTGCGTCAGTAAAGGACTAAAGATTGTTTTTTAAGCTTAACTTGACTTTAAAAAATCTTTAAAATCACAAAAATGATATGATTAAATATAAAGAATTGTAATTCAAAAACTTTTTATGTATACCTTAAGCAGGAGTTACTAAACCTAAATTATTTTAACAAAAATAAATTTATATAATGAATTTTAAAAATTGTAATATCAGCTTAACCTTTAAAATCAAATATATTTTTAATATCAATTCTTGAAAGTCGGCTTAAAACTAAAATAAAATCATTTGTTGTTAAGTTCACTCAGTTGACATCGCTGTATATTTCCACTTCCATCTGCTAACTCCACATTGTATTATGAAAGATTCCACATCACAGCAATATGAAAGACCGTCTGTAGACGTACTTGGACGCGCTTTCCGCACGTGGAAGAAAAGTAAAACTTTTCGTCCTTAATTCCTTAACAACAATAAAACGTATACACGGTATTTGCTTTCATTTTAATGGCAGCATTAAAAAACTCCTTCAACCAACTGTTTTGATATGTTGACAATGGCAAATGGCATTTATTTTTTGGTTAAACGAGGCTTTAAGCTGTTCACCTAGGAGGTCTTTATATACTTTTCCAGTATATCAAATATGTTCGTTAGTACGGGTATGAATGGAGAAAGTTTTTCATTCTCGAAAAGTTCTTAAGGTTGTCAATAATTTTATGGCATCAACAATGTAGTCACGTTCACGGATGAATGTGATATGCTTGGTGACTGATTTCAGTGCGACATATTTCAGTAAGAATGAAATGAATGTAAAATATGGAATAGGAGGTAGGAGTTAAGGTATGGGAGAGCATAAGTGTTTTGGTGAGGGTATTATAAGGAATTATTTGATAAATGCCATTGTCATGGATTTCTAAGTTTATGAAAGGTATTAATAGCAAAGGACCGTGTTACTAATTTAATAGGGTAATAATTTAATTGAAAATTAAATATTTTATTAAAAAATTAGTTATAAAAAATTTTATTTAATTTTTTTATAGAAGTCTTTATCCTGATTAAAGTAAAAAAATATTTTTTTATATTACTTAAGATCATGGAATCATTAAAGTTAAAAAATAAAAGTGCTTCACTTTACTTCACCTTAAAAAGTACCTTACTTTATATTATAGGATAATTAATTTAATTAAAAATTTAAATAAATTTGTATAACTTTTTTATATAAGATATTACTTTGATTACATGTCAAAAAAGTATTTTTATTAGAATTGAATGATTGAAGCTGAAATAGAAAAAAATTTGTTCTCCACTTTATTAAAAGTTAATATACAAATGATATATCATTTGAATTTTTTTTTAATAAAAATAAAAGTATTTTTTTTTGGAAAATTATACTTCTAAATATTTTTAATTTAATTTATTTTTAGTGTTTTATTATTGTGTTATTGAAATTGAATTTATAATGAGTACAAAACATATACTTGATTGGAATTTAGTACAAGATATATATTCGGTTCAACTATATTGAGTCCAAGTATCAATATGAGAATAAAAAAATTCTGTAAAGTATCTAAAGTAGATTTGGTGTTCGTTTTTAATTTTTGATGCATTTCACTTTAACTTTATTTAAGTTGGTATGCACCCTAAGGACCAATATTTTTCCAATAAGTCATAATAAAGCCCAATAGCAATATAGTATTTCACTTACTAATGTCGGTGGGTGGTTATAAAACCACCCTAATTTCAAAGTCAAATTATTTTTCATATAAAATATGCAAAAATATTGACAAGTAACTCTAAACTTTATCGGTTTTACTATCCATTTTACAGATCTTTTGTAATTTCGTACGAATTATTGTGCCCCGGAAACTATGCAATGAAAAAAGTTTAACTTACCAGTGGCGGTTTGTCGGCCAAACGTTTGCAATTGTTTAACTCCGTGGGTGAATTATCCTCATCGGAACTGGGAGTTTGCACAACTTTTTCGTTATCATTGCAGCTGTGAAAGAAGAAAATTAAATAAAAAAAAGATATAAACTATATTTAGCAAGAAGGCAAGCTTGGTGGGGAGTGTTCTCTATCTACGCATAGGGTTGGTTGATTGTGTGTTAATGGAGCATGTGTGCCCATTGGGGTGTGGTAAATAAAAATAGTGCATAAATTTTTGAAAAGTATTATGTAGAAGCAATAAATGCTGTAGATGAACTATGAAGCTGTATTTGAAGGGATAAGTGTAGGACTTTGCCAGTACTTTTGGGAATATTGAATTAGGGTTGAGTGCATGTGAGGCCATGGAATAATATTCCTTAAAGGCTTTTGTTAAAATTTTTGTGAAATTATAAATGTTGAATAGCTTTTAACAATTGAAATAAAATAGAACTACTTTTTTACATAGATTTTATTTTGGAATGAAGAGATTTAAATAGATAAAAATAAAATTAAAATAAAATTTATAAGCAGTGCAACATGCATGGAATAGAGCAAAATTGAGTTGGAAAAGATCAAGAGAAATTTTTTCTTCCAAATATGGAATTGACATATTTTTTTACTGTTGTTATTTTTGGTGCTACTTACTTCAGGTTCGCTTGAGCGAACAAATGCAATGGACGTCGGCGACCCGTTGTGGTATTGAGCATAGGTGATGATGGACGTGAGTAACTGTCATTGCGTAGTTGTAAGTGTTGTTGATGTGTGCCATCCAGCGTAGCCACACCATTGTAGTGGCGCATGTTCGAGTCACGTTTAGTGCTCAGGTTACAGCTTGAATTGGAAATGCTATTTGCATTGGTGCGTGTCGATTTACTGCATGATGATGAACGAAATCGTGAACCAGTGATGACCGCAGCCAAGTTGGCGGCAATACGATTGTCGAAGCGATTAAAGTAGCTATTGTCGTTTGTAGCAGCATTATTACTGTTGCTGACATTTGTTGTGCTAGCAACTGTTGCTGTTGATAATGTTGTTGTATTGCTATTTTTCTCATAGTCCAAATTATTGTTTATCATTTTGTTATCTTTTTTTTGTGTATTTTCTTCCAATTACTTTTACTTGTGACAAAAGCAAGTAAATTGTTTAAGGTTTCTATTCTAGGTGGAGGGAAAGACAGCAGGAGGTTAAGCAATGTAGCTTTTTGCTGTTATTTATTTGTTGCTGCCGCTAACACTATTGCTTCTCTAGACAAATTCACTTTGGCTGCAATCAATTCACTTGCGTTTCCGTTGCGTCAGTGCGTTTGTGCGTGCGTCACAGTTTTAGCAAGATATTTATGATGTCTACATCCGTGGGGGGTTAACGCTGTTTTAACACAATTTCAGCATAAAGCGCGACCAACAGCGACCAACAGCGACCAAAGTTTGCAACGTAAGGATCAAAATTAATTCATGCGGAAATTGGCAGAAGCGCAAAGCCGGAAGGCAACAAGCATACATAACCACAAAACGCATAAACAATGGCAACAAACAAGTTAAATTATAACAACAATAAAAACAACATACAAGATGAGTATTATTCAACAAAAACAAAAAAGTATTGTTTATGCAAAACAACAAAAACAATGTTAAGTGTGGAAATGTACAGTACGCCATTGATAAAAACAACAACAACAACAACAGCAACAACAACGAGAAGTACATAAAAATATTCATAAACAAAGTTAATGCAATTGGGGTTGGTTTAAGAATGATTTCATATGATTTCATAGTGATTATGATCAACATCATTAGTATCAACAACATCATAACGATGATAATGAGTACATTGACAGTTGGACAGTTGTGAAGTGAAGAGAATCAAATAATGAAGTTTATGTGCATGACGAATGTGAAATTGAATGTCATTATGAAGTTGAAGGATTTTTTTTGTATTTGTTGTTGTTTTGGGGTTGTATGCAATTTTGTTCATTGTTTGTGATGATTTCGTGTTTATTGAATTTTGCACATCAAATTTTACGCCATTAAAGGATATTTTATATATTTTTTTCAAGGATATTTTATTTATTATTTTTTGCCAATTTTTTGGAAATTTTTGTTGGTTGCGAATATGAGGTTTAATTTTGTTTTTGGGGGTTGCAATCGCCGGTTTTTGCCAATTTGAATTATTGAGTTTTGTTGTGATTGTCAGTAAAGTTAAGCCGATTCACATGAAATTAAAGATAAAAATATAAAGAAATTTAGCAAGAATCCTTTGAAAAGTTTTACTTATCTTTAAAATATATGTTAATATAGAATAGATTATATAGCAATTTGAATTGAAAATAAAGTACTTACGCTTTTTCTGTTGCATCCAACGTCTTCATTGAACTGAGAAATTCCTGCCTTTGGTATTACTTATAGTGATATAGTGGTTGTCCTTAGCAATGTTTATATATTACATTCTGAAAAATGAAAGCAAAAATAATTATAACTTATTATATATACATAACTAATTAAAAGTAATAACTTAATAAATTATATTTATATTTATTTATTATAATCACTTATTTACTATAAATTAATAATAATTTTAATCATTCTTAATAATTAATATCAAATTATATTAAAATAGTTATTATTGAAGAGGTTTCGAAAAGTAGTTAACTACAACAACAAAAATTCTTTTTACATTATTTTTATTAATTGAATTTAATTCGATTAATTGAATATTTCGATTATTGCCAAATACCTACCATCAGTGGTCTTGGAATTATTTCTTGTATTTACGTATTCATCAACGCAGGGGTACTTTAACTTTGTAACAGCGAAGATACTGTAAAAATTAGCAAAGTCACAGCGCTTGAGATGGATCGGGCACGTCATGAGAATTCCGGAAGCAATTATTCCATTTCACGCCGTACAATGACCGCAGCAAAGGTAGACCACGTATTATATGGCTCGACAACGTGATCGACGACATCAGAAAAATGTGTATCCAAAATTGGAGGTCTAAAAAACATGCAAAGCAGAATGGAGGAAGCTTGTTGATGCAACTAAAGCTCACCCCGAGATGTAACGCTGATGATGATGATTTACTTATTCGTGAATAATTTTGAGACTCTACCAGGAATTGAACTCATGCCCTGCTCAGAGTCAGCGTTCACTAGCCAACTGACCCAAAGCCGTAATTAAATACAATACAGTGTTCCCTGATAGTAAGGTATCACGATATTTCTACTGAATCGCTTGTAGCTTAGACATGATATATCATTTCCGTTTCCATTGTTTAAAGATCGTTTTTCGCTCGTTGTCTCTTTCACTCTAATACGTTATCACGAATTACATTGTTTTTGTTTTTAATTTCCTTGCGAACTATAGTCAAGTGCCTGCTAACTTACCTTATTCCCAAGAATATATCTTATTCATCATAGTTCTCTACACTACCAAACACATCTGAGTTGGGCAAAGTTTGAAGTATCTGTAGACAGTCTAGGTTATACATTTGCTATTACGTCCTGTTTTGTAACTATAACGCTACTGGATTAGGAGGAGGAAGTTATCAACACAATGCTGTTTTTATTGATTATAAAAGAAAGTTACACCAGTGTTAAGTAATATAGTGCTCAATATCTGAACCGTTTGTCATTTCGTGATAAAAGTTTCGTTTTGTTCGAAAAATATTTGTCTATATTCTTTCGTCTCTCTTACTGCAGCAGAGTGGTACACAGCATACTGTAGCATACATAATAATATAAACAATAACATCCGTTACTCATTTCATGTGTGGTCTACTTGAGAAAAGTATTATTCACTATTCTTAAGCCACACTATATTCGCAACAGCATTAATTGCTGATCTTGCAATTATGAGTCCAAGCATTTTGAGCTGCTTGTGTATGCTGCGCCGCTCTTAGAGAACAGAAGGATTTGAGATGTTGCCTGAGCAACAACGTTTAATAATCCCTTTAATAAAATATTAAATATATGAAAATAACAGATAATTGTTTAAATAATAAAACATTAATAAAAATATATTACAATACCGTCATTTTCTTTTTGTTTAACTTTATAGATTCTAATCAACCTATATAGCTATGTACATAATCAATCCATCTTTATTTGCGACTGGTGACTATATTAGGTGATGTTTTTATATTGCATTCCTGAAACAAATGCAAATTGCTCAATGAGATTAGTTACAATACTTTAAGTTTGAGCCTATGATACTCATCAACAAGATTGTGTCTGTAATCAACCAGGTCTCACACCCATTGGGCAATATCGACAGCACAATTAGTGCAAGAAATAGCTAAATTTTTGTTATTATTGAAGACATGAAATTAGAGTTCCAAATATATCTGAGTTGCATTGAAATTGCTGTATCTAGTTTTGGTTATACATTTTGTTCATTATTGGTCCATTAATGGGTCTAATGAACCAATTTAAAGTGCCTATATGAGCATCCAGAACAGACTTCCTTGCTTCCTTACAAAAGCGTTTTATGTATGTTGTGCTTATTTTAATATTTCTGTATAATTTGTCTATATAGGCCCCATACAATAAACAAATAATACCATAAAGGAACTAATTTACTTAATTAACATTTCAAGGATAACTAAACATTAACTACTGTTAAAAAACCTTTTGTGCTTAATGAAAACTGAGTCAAGCCTTTTTTTTCGGGAAGTTAATTCAATAAATTGAAAATTCATTTGAAAATAATTTTATTTAGGTATTTTTTTTATTATTTTATTTGCATAATTTCACGTTTCGTAAACCATAAAACACCAATTTTTCCACAGACTGCCATCATTACCGTGCCAAAGTTTTTACATCATTTGGCAGCTAATCAGGCATGACATGCACAAAATAACAAATTCCAATACAAATTACTGGACAGCAGAGTATCTCAGACTCCGTTATCAGAATATCGCTTAAATACAGAGCAAAACAGAACACGAAAGATAAAAAAGGGAAATTTTCACCTAAACCAATAAAGCCAAAGTAAAGAAATAGAACCTGTAAAACCTACAAAAAATTATCAAAAGCTCCTTTTCCCAAAGTCCCTTCAGTAGACCCGTCCAAAAAAAATCAAAAAAAGCAGGAGGAATAAACAAAATTCAACCAGGCGAAAATCAAACAGGATGAGCCCCAAATACACAAGGCGCTCAAATATGAAGAAAAAAAGTGAAAAAACAAAACAAATAAAACGCACAGATTAAAGGATACTTGGCTGAAATGTCTTCTTAATTACTTTGCAGCGTGTAGGACAAAAAGCAAAAAAAAAACACAGAAAAATAAATAAAAACAAAAGCAAAACGGCAGGAACCAAAGTGAGTGAGAAGTAAAAAAACCGAGACGATATTAAACTGTTAAGCGTAAGTAATTTAGTCAGCATTTGTGGTACTACAAAGCCAAGCAAAGCAAAGCAAAGTAAACCCAAACGAAAACAAAATCAAATAAGTTAAAGTGTTAGCGGAAGCGGAAGCAAGGACTGCCTTCGAACGGAAGTAATTTAATTAATTACAAATGAAATGGAAACGAAATAAGCAAATGACTACGTAACGACAAGTTCCTGTTGTTAAGCACTGTTTGCTTTCCATAGTTCCTGTACCTTCCATAGCTGAAAATCAAGGCTTAGTGCCTTGGCTCGTAAGTAAACGGAAGTGGTGAAACTAAGGGTTAGACATGTGTTCATGCTTAAGTAGGCACGTGTGCAGGATCTTAAAATATTATAAACATAAACAAAACTAAGCTGTATATACGACCGATTTATACTACCATAATTACAGCTCAAAATCAGTATTGTGAAAATTGGTGGAATTACTGCATAATTCAATAAGCGATTCATTATAATACTTATCTGATTCTGATTCTGACTGTGAAGTTATGTATTTGGATGGAGTTATGTATTTGTTAAAGACAGTTCGCAAATTTCAACTTTAATACACAATAAACTTCAAAAATATGTCAAAAGCAGTCAGTTAATTTTCAACCATAGAAGCTAAAAATAGCAAAACATACATTAATCCTTCTAGCCCAGTGTGGCCACCAGTTTCTTATTTGTGCTTTTTAATTTCAAACAAACTCAGAGTTCAGATAATGAAAAATAACTTAATGACTCTCCCGACATTCGACACACTTTACTGTGGCACGATTCGGCCCTCGGGTACTTAACTGATATGCAAATTTTTCCGTACTGCTCCCTGAAATACTTAATATGAAATTCCACAAAAACTGGAAGTAAATGAAAAATTTTTCCAGGAATATATTATTTTAAGCAGAGAAGGATAATGAAAAGGGTATTTAAACAAATTTGTAAATTGCGTG